TAGACCAGGTTGCTCAAAGCCTCATCCAGCCTGGCCTTGAACACTTCCAGGGATGGGGCATCCACAGCTTCTCTGGGCAAGCTGTTCCAGTGTGGATGCTATCCCAGTTATAAAAGTAGTCAGGAAGAAATAATGAAATTGAGAAGTGCACGTTGGGAGGACAGCACACCTGAGTATGTGAAGTTTATATGCTTGTTTTTAAGTGAAGTGTTGATGTCTTGAATGTTCTGTTTCTCCTCTCCTCCTCCCAGAGAGGGAATGAAAGTTCTGCTATTACCCTACTGCTTTTATCCTTTACACTTGGTGACTGTGCTTGAAGGTGACGTTTTTCCTGATCAGAATGCTCCACCTTCTCTGCAAAGTACCCCAGTGCACATCAGTTTCGTTGAAGTAACAGCAAAGAAGGGAACATCATTCTGCAGTTCACACCTGGTTTCTTTGAATAGGGAAGGGAGGAGGGTTAACAACTGCGAGGAACCAAGAATTAGTGTGCTGGTAGACATGTGGTAGGGCGTCAGATGGGATGGCCAGAGTTTTTACCGCCAATGTCTGGCTGTGTTGCCTTAATGCCACTGAAGCAGAAATGCCAGATCTGATGGCAGATCAGCTCCCAAACGGCTCCCATTTTTGGTCACATCCAATTATCATATTAAGGTAATCTCATTGCTAAGAGTTTGTGTCACGAGTTGACCTGCAAGCAGGTCTTCTGATAGTGTGATTGCTCTTACCTCTTGAGTTATTTTTGTTTCCCCTGTTTACTGAGCCGATGTAGCTAGGATGTGATCAAACGATCCATTTAAGTTTCTTTGCTACGTGCAGATTTCATAAGCAAGAAATAAAACTCTAAATTGGGAGTGTCCACCTTGTTGCTGTGAAACCTTGTGCAAATTATGAGTTATTCAGGTGTGGCTGACCACACAGGACTGTTCTACATAGCTATGTGACCTACCACATCAGCGTAGCCATAGTTGACCATGTTGTGCTAGGAGAAGCAGAGGCTGCTAGGGGAGCTGAAGCTGCTGTCACCAGATCACCCAGCAGCTCCCATTTGCACGCCTAGATCAGCCTATCACTAAGTTCCTAAATTCTTCCATTAGGACAACTTGTAACCTCCTGCCACTGAATCAGCTGCTTCTGCCCACAACACTCTGAGGTGTGTCTTCTGCCTGCTGAGCGTGTGAGTGGCTTGGCATATGGCATCCAGGGAAGCCTGGTACCAGCCTTCCCGCAGAAGGGAATCTGTTCAGTTTCCTTTATTTGAAACCTCACTGAATGGAGCTTGACAGCACTGCTATGTAAACAGATGTGAAAGATTTCTATTAACATAACCACATTACCCGTTATTGTGAACTGGGCTGTGGAACAACCAAAACATGGCTAAAAGCACACATTTTAATGTTCTGTACACAAGGAATGTTTGCAATGTTAAACTGTAAATCTGCATTATAAAGATTTTCCATCAAACTTCTGCTTACTTTGTCTTGCTCTGTTACTCTTCCCTTTAACTTGTCTTCTTTGCTTGACTTTTTTTGACCAAAGCAGCACCTATTCAAATGAAAAGGTTCCTCACTTGCTTCATCGTGGCAGGCAGGACATTTATCTTCGCAGCCTTTCAAGCTGATACGTAGGTAGAATGTGTGAATGCTCTGGCATTTGGAGAGCTGTGAATAAAATATCTGAAACACCAGGTCCAATAGCTTCTGGAACTGGAAATTGCTTCCCAAGAATGTTCTGCACCGCTTGGCTGGTGGTGGCTAGTGAGTGCCGTGCCGAGGGGAAGACCAGCCCCTCTGGTGCTGTGCAGAGCCTGGGAATGGCCCTGTTCTGACAAGGACCAGGAGGCTCTTAGCTACCCTGATCTGTTTGGGTTGCTTGGGCAGGGTCATGCACACAACTTGGCACTGTGGACCGTCGTTTCTGCATTGCTGCCCCTGGTAAATCACTCAAGTGCTTGGCTTCGCGGTGCTCCCCAGATCGCCTCTGCACCAGCGGACTGAAAAGGAGCCAGGTGCTGCTGCACAGTCTCTGCAGCAGGGAGTTCTGCAGGGCTCGATACAAGTGACAGCAGAGGTTTTCTGAGGATCGTATAGAAGAGTACTGCATCATTTCCTTCTGGAGCTGTGATCTACGTTAGGTGCTCTGGTTCACCTAAAAGCATCAGATTGCCAGAAATTGAAGCCTTGCCCTAAGGGGACTCAAAAGGGCAATGTTTCTGCAGGATTCAAAGCTCTTAACTGTTAACCCTTTGTGTAAGGTCTAGGAAAATATCCAGAAACAGAGCAATAAAGCAAAAATGCTTTTTTCTCAGAAGGAGCGCGGTGTGTCTGCCCACAGAATAGTTGTCTCCTGTGAAATCTGACAAGCCTCTAGAGAATGCAGGTTGGAACTTGCCATGCTTACCTGGTTGTAGTAACAGTTCTATCATAAGTTTGTAGCTCTCAGTTCCTTGCCATGAATGTCTAATGCATGAATAATACGTTTGCTGGCCTTTCATGAACTGTGTAAACCTTTTCTTGAGATTATTGAACAGGTAGTGCTGAAGTGAATGAGGCCACAGATAAAGCTGTTGCATCCTCGTAGGCTGAGCTATCTGAGCAAACAAAACAGAGTTTCCAGGTTTTCTCACTCCTTCCTTTGCTTTGAAAAAAAATATCCTGGGTTTTGTGTTTAATGAGAACTAAATATAAATAGGAATGTATTTATTATTATTATTCTAGTTCTGTACAACAGTATGGCTGTGTGTTTTGTCAGGAGCAAAAAATTTTGGTCCATTATATGTAAGTGCATATAACTTACGGTAAGACAATGTTGTACGTAGAAATTGCTTGCAGTAACAGTGAGTGGGTGTTCTGGGATTGAAAGTGAACTAGATCCAATCTTACTGCAATAAAAATTAATACAGATTAACTGTTATATTTGGCAGATGCAATCATACATGCTTTTTTGAGGGAATAATCCTTTATATTCGTTTTTATTCATGCAGTATTCACAAGTGAATGCTTTGAACTGAGGATCTGATTACACTGAGATTTTTACTTTGTACATTAAAGCGGGAATATTTGCAAGTTGAAGTTATGAATTATATATTTCAAACCCTGTGTGGGGCAGTTCTTACAGTGTTAAGGGCAGATTTTGTCTTCCTCTTGTTCTTATTAAATTTTTAAACAGCACAGATAGCATTCAGGACCTTCTGGTTTAGTGATTTGTTGTGTTGGGCCTTTTCCCTTCCTTTATAACAGTCTTTGCCAGGAACTGCATAGCAGAGTTGTAACTTGAAATTAAAGAAAGCAGTATTTCTGGACCTAGGGCATCACACTGCTGGAAAAGTCTGCACTTGAAGAATGAAGCCTTAACTCCATAACTGAGAGTAGGAAGATAATTTATTTCAGTGGGATTTCAACTGAACTGTAAAAACAGACCCTCTGACTTCTACCTTGCACTAAACAGTGTGTAGTACCGGGAATGCCAACAGTAAGGTGTTACATTCTCCTGGAACTTTAACGGCAAAATTATTCCCACAGTTTTTCAAAATCTTGTTTGAATTTCTTGGATACTGTTCAGAACTTACTTGTCAACTGATTTGTTACAAATAATATTCTGTTAAAATTTACTGTGCATGCCTTTACTTAAAAGGAAAATGTTCTCTTTATGCTGGAGGATCACTTGTTCACATGTTTACTGAGTATCTCAGTTTGCCAATATCTGGTTTCTTGCCTTGAAAATAAAATTTGATCAGCAATATGGTTGCATTTTTGAAGATGGAACAGTGTGAATGTATAACATACAGCTTTATGTGGGGTTTTTGCCTAGGATTACAATACATGGCATTCCCCTTCCGGTATCACAGGTTAGCTGAGAGGTCGGCAGATTTTCCAGAGATGCTTGCAGAGACCTTCTGTCAGGATCAATATGAGACTCTGCATACTAAATTATATTAGTCAAGATCTGAATATTAGTTAGATTTCACTGATAGAAGTCACAGATGGCCCAGAGTGGGAAAATGGTCATAGTAAATAAGTAAAGCTTTCAAATAGCACTTTGGTGTTTGGTGAATGGAGTCCTTTTGAAGAACAGTTTATGTTTAATAGAGCTAACTTCCAGAAACCAGGAGTACAGCCATGGTATTGGCAGAGCAAGGTGGGAATGCTACCTAGAAAGTATTGCTTGGAAAAACTTAAGCTTCATTAGGTAATTAAATTATTTATTGAAGATTATTAAATGGCTGCATGCAATTCAGAATTGAAATGGTTTGATTAATTTCTCATATTTGAAATGAAAGTAACTGATCTATTTAAAAGTGATCTATTTAAAAGCTGACTTGGATCACTACTTCTGCATCCTGCTTTGCAATCCTGTTCTCTGAAGGTTATTTCCCTGGTAGGCAGTTAACCTTTCAGAGGGGAAAACTACAAGGTCCAAGTGTCCTTCATGTAATGGAGAAAAAAAAAAAACCCACAGTGTAACAAAACCTGCTAGCTGGAAGCTGAAGACCAATTTAGAGACACCTCTTAAGCTCGTGCTTTTTTTTTTTGTTCATTCTTGATGGTTAAAATCATGGCGAATGTGTGAGATTTTGTTCTTGATCTGATCCAGGAAAATTTACCATTTTAGATTGAATGATAACAAACGTGTGGCTGAAGCATGTGTTATTCATTAGATGTATAATATTAAATGATGTTTTTGTACATGTCTGTGGTTCTTTAATTATATTAATGTAGGAATCTTGTGGATGCAGGTCAGCTTCCATGGATCCAGTCCTAGGCCTGTGGCACAGGAACAGAATAGCTTGCTTAAACACTCATTGATTAATGTTAACTGCTTTGTTGATAAGTCAGTTGTATATATGGTGGTACTCATGCAATGATGGGGTGGTTTTCTGTTAATGGTGCTAACTTGCTGGCAGTTTTCTTAGTAAGTAGCTAATTACTGCATTGGATCTCATTGCTGCCTAATGCAATGAAAATAAATAATGAAGTAATACTAATTTTTTTTTTTTTTAGGTAATAATCTACGGAGATTTGCCAAAAAATAAAGAAAATGTAATATATTTAGCAAATCATCAGTGTACAGGTTTGTGGTGATTTTTGTTTGTCTTAGCACTTTCATGGATTTAAAAAAATGTACTTTCTTTCTTTCCTTGCCCTAATGAGCAAGAGCTGCTAGTTCAGAAACCTTTCATGATACTTAATATGTACAACATGTGCTTTTAGTTTCATCAGTGGCAATTAAAAACTAGTTTAACTAAACACTTCTGACTTTTGTCTTTGCAGTTGATTGGATTATTGCAGACATGCTGGCAATTAGGCAGAATGCTCTCGGGCACGTCCGGTATGTCTTGAAAGATGGGTTAAAATGGCTTCCGCTGTACGGGTGGTATTTTTCACAGGTAAGCCCATTCAATTTTCCCTTGCTGTTTCTGCCTCAAGTATGTAAGTTATACTTTCTTGCCATTTATTGTAAGTGCTGGGAAGACGTAGTTCTGAGCTGGCACTTATTTGGACAGGAAAATAGCTGGTTTCAGTCAGTGTAGTTAGATGTGTATCTTAGATGAGAGGCAGTTAAATAAATCATCTTGCTTTTCTAAATGGATACATTTTATGGACAGTGTTTGTTACTAGAATTAAAACTTCAGAGTCTATTTAGAAGCATTTCAGAATATTCTAGAACATTGTTCTTGTATAATCCAAAAGCTCACTTAGCAGCAGGTGTAAACAGACTTTTTAAAAGTATTTTGTTTTAATCGTGCTACAAATAGGGAGTAAATCGATGTTGCTGTGGTGTGCTTTTTTATTTTTCTATTGTTTGGATTTAACACATAAAAGAGGAAAATTGGACCATAGTATAGTGTGGAGGAAAAGCAGATCCCAGCCTCCATGAAAGTGTTGATGGTTTTGCTTTGGACTTCAGTTAAGCAAAACCACTGTAAACCTGTGTCTAACAGTATTCTTACTACTTTTTTGTTTCCTCCTTGTCATGCTTTAGCCCCAGTTAGCAACTAAATTAACTCTGTCCCAACTAAAACCAGCACACTCCTCCTCCTACATAATGCTCCTCTTGTTCCTTTTAGTTTGAGAGCTCAGCCTGAAGGGACTCAGAATTACGCAGTTGCTGAAGAAACAGTGGACTGTGGTCACTTTACAGCCAGCACACTGAGTGGGTGCTACCTTTAATCTGAAATGGTGGAGAACAATGTAGATGGCATTTACCTCCCTAAAACCCTCTCCGAATTTGTCGTGTCCATTCTTTGCTTTTTCTCACAGCAGGACTGTTTCCATATAAAAATGAAATAAAATGTAGAGGGGGATGTTTTACTAGGTGATCAGAAGTGGCTTCACAGGATTTAGATGGGTGCTTAGTTGTTAGAATAGAAATGGATGAAGTTGTGGGTCACTGTTCCAAAGTGCTTGTTTGATGAGATTTTTCTCCTTTGGCTTCTGTCTCTGATCTTTGCCTGTGCCCTGAACATTAATCTGCTTTCTGACCCCCGCCCATCCCTGTCCAGGCAAAGAAAGGCAAAAAGCACTTAAAAAAAATACATCTCATAGAATTAGACAGTTTTGATTGACTTGACGGTCAACCCTGTCTGTGAGAATGGGGGATATTGAAAGAAATACTACATTGGGCATGACTTGAACTCTCTGTTATTTTGTAAAGGAATATATGAAGAGTAGGCAACTACAGACGTATTCCAGGTCGGACGCTTTACTGTCTTCACTCACCCTTGGTTGCATGTTCCTCTCTCTCACCGTTAGCACTCTTGCATCCATAACTCAAGTCAGATCCATTGATCGCTGTATCCAGCAAAAGGGGGAAGTTTAATACATCCATGGCTGGGAAGAGGGGTGGAGGCAGGATAGCCCTTGGGTGACAGTTGACAGCAAAACTTGGCCTGCAGAGAGTTGATGTAAGTTGGATTGAGTTTAGAGAGTGTTGGGCAGTCGAGGGAGGTACAGACCGTGAACTGCTTGGTTAATATGCAGAAGAACAGGAAGCGCCTTAAACAGCGGCCTCTCCCAGCAGTCAGGTACTGCCTTCCAGCTTGGGCCTAGGTACCTAATTTGAAAGAGGCTCAGGGTCTTGGATCGTGTCACATAAGATGTCCATCTCTAGGGGGTGAACTGTCTCACCATTTTATCTTAGAGCACAGGTAGTGGTTGAGGTTCCTACCTTCTGTCCAGTGAGTAAGAGGTTAGAGTGTCCCCCAAGATATTGGGAGGTCCAAGTTTGATGTTTTCAGCTTGGTGGTTGAAAATGTTTGTGGTCTTCTGGATGAGTGCCTTAGACAGTGAGTAGGCTATGAATCTAGGCTGGAGCATGGGTGATTGCCATCCTTTCCTCTAAAATTGCTATGTTTAGAAAAGAATATGCTGCAGAGAAAATAAGAAAACAGTTCATGAGTCCTTTTTCTTGGTGGGTTTTCTGTCCCCATCCCTAAATAAGTACAGACTCTCACACCCTGTCATATCTCACTGGGAGAAAATGGACTTCTCTGTTGTCTGATGCTCATCCCCACTAATGACACTGGTTCTCTATATTTTTCTTCCACTAAAGTTACCGGTCTGCTACATGGAAATATTCTGCTTTTTGTCCTTGCCTGTAGTCACTACGTTGGTGGTGATTTAACTCTGCTTTAATTAAAATAGAGACAGGATATATATATTCCATCCACTATCACTAGGTGTCCAGAACTTTTTTTTTTCTGAATTTTGGAAAATTCTTACTGCTATCCGGAATATCCGGTGCTCAGTTTCCTGCCTGTTATACTGACTGTTAAAAGAAGGTTCCTGTGGAAATTAATCTGAACGTAGCCTACATTTTTAATCAAAGCATATGTATTAAATAAAATCTGTTCAGCTTCAGTTTCCCCAAAACATAAAACTAATACAAGATTTAGTAGAGGATGATTATATATATTTATATATGTTAAATTCAGTGACACAAATGAACAGCAGCTTACTAACGCTGGTGATGCGTGTGTGTTTAAATGACTGAGACGGGATGCAGCAGGGCTGCAGTGCAAGCTAATAGGTATTTTTATTGTTTTTATCACACCAAACAGTGCAAAAACATAAAACACTTCCTGCTCTTCCTGTTGATGTTCTGTCAGTGATGTCACTTACACTCCACTAAAAGTTTCCAGAGCCACGTAATTACGCCATGCTCACGGAATTCATATTCCCTACCTCAGGTAAACATCCTGTTTGGAAATAAACGTGGTCTGGATGTCCAGGAGAGCGAAATTCAGGCACAAAGGAAGTATATTTGTAAACATAATCCATTGTTGACTGAGAGAGGGGCTTTTAAAGTACAGCGGAAAAAATTAAAACCTTAAAAACAGTGCTTCCAGAAATCTGTTTTGAAAAGCGTTCATATATTTGATCTCTTACTGAAAAGGAAATGCAATACAAATTGGGGAATTTGAGCTATATACAATTGCATAACTAGCATTCTTCTTTGGAGGCAGCTATCTAATAGCAAGAAAAGAAAAACACCACTTAAATTAACTTGTTATGTTCCAGGTTTGATTTATTAGGTAGAACTATTTATTTTCGTAAAACTGGCTTTATTATTTTTGGGGTGGATTTGAATTTTATTTTTTTCCCTATCTTTCTCCACCAAAATGCAGCTAGCTCCTATTCATCTTATACCACCTGGTGAGGCTGGGATGTAGTTTTGATAAATACTTTTGATATTCCAGAGTCTGCTTGACTTTTTAACATAGGGAGTATGTATTTTCTGTTATTCAGCATCAGCTTGTGCACCCTTTAGGTTGTTACTGAATTTTAGCCAAGTGCTTACTTAGTATGGCTTCTTGCCTTTAGTTTTCTAACCCTGCGACATAGGGGAGCTGACATTTATGTAGTTGGGTTGTATGCAGGGAATGGTGATCTTACGATATGTAATCTGCTTGTTACATTAAGCAACTGTATACTCATACACACTTGAGAAGTACAAATCTATTTCTGAGCATTAAAATGTCTGAGGTGGAGACATGAAACCTGTCTTTGGTGTTGTGGTGCCCCTGAGCAAGCTGTACAACAGTAACTTGATTTTTCCAAGTTCACAGATGAAGCGAGGGAAAAGTGGTTTGGTATTTTCCCAGTTTACTGCAGTTGGTTAGCAGTTTTATAAGTAACAGAAGGCTTTGATTCCAGCCTTCTCTCATTTATCAAAGCTTGCCCTGGCCGAGCTCACGGAGAATGATGACTTACCAATCACAGGGGAGCCTTGTACGGTAGATGCGTTATTTCTGACACCAAACTGAGTTTGCCTTTCCTGAAAGCAGTTGTTGTGGTGAGTGTTGCTCTACAGAGTAAGACTTCTCCTTCCCTTTAATGGCGTCAGATCTTAAAAACAGCCTTACATGGGGAACATGTAGATAACATGGGACTCTCTGCTGCACAGCTGGTGGAACGTTTCTCTGTTCATGCCATTATCTATCCAGGACTGGTAAACTGCTTGTGGGATGGTGCTGATACGATGTTCCAGCCTGCTAAAGGCCAAACTCGGTGAACTGAGGGATTCTGTTCTTGGTTTTGGTCCCCTGCCAGCCACAGCAGCATAGCTGGCTACTTCACCTTGGAAGGGAACCTCAGGCAGTGATGTTAAGACAGAATATTTAATATGAAGTTAATGTACCATTGAATTTCTGTTCCTTTTCACTGCAGCTTTTGGAGAACAACTCAAAAGTCACATCAGATACCACTAGCTAAGCAGCTGCGTGGTCATCTCTCCACACAGTGAAAAGCAAAGGCTGGAAGCACTTTGCATAACCGCCTCTTCTGCCTCCCTCACCCTAACCCCTCAGACTCTATTCCTGTCCATGCCATGCAAATAAAACAAGAGCTGCACACATGCACCACCATCCCTGTTCCTACAGTGTGCTGTATCTTCTCCTGAGACAAGACATTTGACTGAGGTTCAGCTTTCAGTACCTTTCGTCTGTCACCTTTCTGTTAAGAGTGTGTAAAACCATACATGTACAGAAATTATCTGAAAAATCCTAATGCCAACAGTCAGGGTGGACAGAAAAAAGTATTACCAAGTTAGGGAATCAGTTTGAAAACACATGAAAACAAAGTACCTTCAAAATGAAGTCCTATTATTTGCAAGAGGTTTTTTTTTTTTTTTAGAATTCATTGTATCAGTGGTTCATTCAAAAAAAAGGTGATGGAAGAGGGAAATGATGAGGCAAATTTTACTTGTCACCCTCTTACTTTGTGCGTACTTTGCCATAGTCCTTTTACTGAAGTTTTTGTGATAAATTGTGTTTAAGAAGTTACAAAATTAATTTTTTTCCAGGAAATGGTCTAACTTTTTATAATGGCTTTCAGTAAAAATACTTATCTAAAATCCTTTGTCTTCTGAAGATTTTGTGTTATTTAATCACTTATTATGTCAGTATATAAGTTCTTTGCTAAAAAGGGTGATTCCCTCATAAAAGTACATGCAAGTTTTGAAGACCTATGCTAGTCACTTTTGTGTTCAGATATTTTGTATATATAGGTACGATACTTGTAACTCCAGTATTTGCATTAGTCGCTGTTTAAGTGCAGGCACATACAATTGAAAACATTGACTATATAAGTACTTGTATGTGAGTAACGTCATTTATGTGATTTCCCCCCCACCCCGATACACAAGTTAAGCTGCTTGTCAGTGTTGTTGGGAATAGTTGAATCCCTGGGGTCTGTTCCAGTTCCATCTTCCAGTTAATTATTTAACACCTTTAAACAAGACACTTCAAGTGTCTTACACCTTTGTGGGTTTTTTTAGATCTGCTATTTTTTTAAACAGATTTTATGAATTTGAGTACATGCAAGTGTAAAATTAGTTTCAGGTGCTTTCATCCCAGGAGAAAACGTCTTGTGGGCAATTTGCAGTGTGAGTCATAAAGGTGACTTTTCACTGTTGTCTTGTTCTTCAATCAACTAGTCTACATTAAACTACTTAAATATTTAATGCTTCCTCTCTTTTTTTTTTTTTTCCCTCCCTGCTAGCATGGAGGAGTCTATGTAAAAAGAAGTGCCAAATTCAATGAAAAAGAAATGAGAGAGAAGTTGCGGGCCCAGGTGAAAGCTGAGACTCCGGTAAGATTACACCTTCCTTCCCTCCCTTTTCCTCATTTCTTTGACTTTTTTAATGGCAAAGGCTTATTGTAGAAATGAGCCATGCCTGATACCTACGAACTACAAGACAGGAATCTTGTGTTTGTTTCCTTTCTGTATGTTTACAGTTACTTTCTGTGATTAGAGTGATACATCTAAACTTAGAAAAATTTGAATAGTCCTTTATGAATGCTACAAACTTCATGATTCTGTCTGTAGAGGGCAGGGGGGCCCTGGACTAAATCTTAGAATGTGAGCTGTAGCACCTTCTTTGAGAAACCACTGTCAGTGTTCCCTGTGTTTCAGAAAACATGTTGACTACTCTGTGTATGTCAGATACTGGTATTTTTCCAGTTGGTTTATCTTCTGAAAGTCAAGGACCATTCTTACCAAATCTTGATTAGATGATTCAGTGATTAAATGATCAATCATTTTTAATGACAGTGACATCTTAGAACTGAGTAACTTTGCTACACCTGGAGGAAAAATCCCCACCAAAAACCCCGAGCTCCTGATAATTTTCTATTTGAAGAATGATTGTTGGTGCCAGGTGACTTTCCTCATGACTCCCTGTATGGTTTGTGGCTCAGTGGTTAGAATCACTGTGCTTCACTTCCATTACTTGCTGTGCATTAAAATATTTTCTGTCTTTTTGGCTAGACTTAAGAAAACCAACTCGGCAAACCTTGATATAGAACAGTTACATTTTAAAATGATGTGATTGGACTTGCCACTCCAAATGCTTAAGTGGCAAACCTTTTACAAGCTGTAGCTTTGGGTAAAATGAATGCATAGGTTGTGTTGACCTTCACAAGTCTTCATTTTTTATTACATATTTTTTGGAGGTCATGTGTTTATGTTTGTGCAGGTGTCTGTGTTGAAAAAGTAAACTGGCCTGATGCTTAATGAGAGGCTTAAATGAGTAAAGCGTCCCCGTGTGAGACGGTGCTCAAACTCATTTTGTCTTGAACTAAGATTTAGCATGAACTGTGGTATTTTTTGTTTATAATTAAGATCAGAACGTGGATCTATTTCCAGTTTTCAGCATATAAATTACAAAGGCCAGAAATACATTGCGAGAACTGAGCTTCTGCTGCCCACTGTCTAATCTAATGATGTCCACATACAGATGATCATAGGGATAACTTGTGCTGCATCACCAGGGAGGGTCCTGGGACGTGAAGAGATTGCGTTGTGTCAAGTTGTTTTCTGTATGTCAGTGGCAAAGGTTCTACTTTCTGTAACACTTGCAGTGTAATGCAGTAAGGAAAGACAAATTGCAGGATGTATGAAACATGTCTGTAGTTATCCCTCTAAGCAATTGCTCCCCCTGCAGAGTGCTGGTTAAGTTTGCTCTAGTCAATCTGGATGAAATATCCTAGCAGGGTGTTTTCCTGCATAGGCTAGCCAAAGAGGCAATTTCTGGTTGATTCTGTCTTTCTGACTTCTGTCTGCACCCCCTAAAATGCAGGGGTTGGCTGTAACAATAAGGTTAAGAGTCTTGAACTGGACTCTTCTTTAAATTAGTCCAATTTAGAAACATAGATTATTTTTTTTTAATCCAATTTTAGGAAGATGTGCCTAGAAACTCATCTAATTCTGCATCTCTCTGAAACCTGCAAATTATATTCAGTGTTGCTCCAGTGCTATAAATTGACTGGACAGGCTAGTGAGTGATTTTTAGCCCAATTGGAATGTAAGGGGAGGTTTAAGCGTAAAGCTTTTCTTTACATATGCTGTGAGTTCTGCTTTCCAAGGTGGATGTCTACTTGTGATTAACAAATGAAGTCAATCTAGAAGGCTTTTTTTCTGGAATCCTCTATCTTCTCTCTCCTGAGCTGTGTGTGGATTAAAAACCTATACTTATCTAGGCTAATGCCAAATGAAGTTGGGACCACTTGGGGTACACTGGGGGTTTTCTGGTGTAGTTTGGCTCTCTGGAAGTTTGCTGGTGTTCGAATTGGGCACAGAACCTGGACGTGCTTACCAGACAGTTGTTGCCATTTTCCTCATATTCTCTAGGATAGCAGTATAGAAGAGAAGTGTAACTGCTGCAGAAATGCGTTCTGTTGTAAATCTCTTTCAGTCAAACCGCATAGGGAGTGACACTTAGGTTTTATAAACCAAAGCTGTCAAAGGCCTATTTACTGAGACAAATGTTTGCCTCTTCAGGGGTAAAAGACGCAGACCATTGAGTTGTCATTTGAGCGAAGATTAAACTTTCTGTAATCCACTTTATCTGAGAAATTTAAATGTAGATGCTGTAAATGCCCTTTCACCTACAAGTACTACTGGGAACAGAAGTGATAACCTGTGTCCTTACTGCATTATTCATGAGGAAACTGCAGTTCTGCAGCTTAGAGTGACATTCACCAGCAACCATATTGCTTTTAAAATGTAGACATTTTAATCAGTAAAGTACATGTACCCCAAACTCATCAGCTTCATGGGAAAATAATTAATTCACTGCTCTGGAATTTTTATTAAAATTTATGTGCTGGCTGCTACAGCTCAGGGTGGGCTTCTCCTCAGCGAGTAGCTGCTGTTGCTTGGTCATTCTGCGTGAACGCGGTGGAGTTTTCTTTAATGTAGTGTTAGAGAAAAGCTTGCCTTTCAGCTGCTAAGGAAAGAATTATATGGCAATAGAGAGGAGAAGGATGGGAATCTGTGTTAAGGGTCACTCAGTTATTTACAGTTTCTCTCCACATACGGTTTAAACAAAAGAATCCAAATGATTAATGTTCGTTCTGTCTGGAGCCATCCCTGTTCCCAATAAGAAACTGAAGACGTGTAGGAAGGCAGAACCAGTCTTCTGTTCTCGTTAGCCTCGCGAGGCATTTAGTTCCTTTACTGCCTGTCATGTTGTTGGTTTTTTTTTTTTTTAATGAAAAAGTAAATTGGAGGTGGAATGAGGACAAGAAAAATAAGGCTGCCTTTTGACCTCTACATTCACAGTAGAATTAGTGATCTGGTACGCTTGATTTTATGTAAGGACAGCGGACTGCATAATGCTCCTTGCTGGCTTTGTCTTACAACTTCTACCCACCTGCTTGCCTTCAACAGCCCCTCTCTCTGTCCTGCAGCCCCATCCTTCTTCCCAGATGCAGCGCAGCTATATTAGGTGTGCAAAACAGTGGTACTAGACTGAAATGTGGTTGCACGTGTGTTTCCTTAGTGGAGATCTTGAACTAATAAATTTTCTTACTTCTCTCTGGAAATCATTTGGGTTCTCAAACTGTCATTGAACCATACACTCATGGTTCATTATTGAGCCTTTTCTTGGCAAAACTCAGTTGAAATGATTTGATTTTGTTTAAAATTACATAAATCCTGGCTGGTTGTTAACAAATTGCAATCTTATGTCTTGTTGTGAAAGCAGAGATTGTCACATGGTTTGAAGGACACTTCTGTGTTTAATGTTGTTTTAATATAAGCCGTAACAAGATAAATACATTTCTCAGTGTAACAATGTATCCAGCTAACACTTGAGATATTCAATCTGCTTGTTGTATAAAGAAAGTTGACTCTTCTGAACATGCAACTATTCAGTTTTATAACTGAAAATGTAACTTATATTTCTTTTGTCATGCATCAAGTGTAGGAAATCTGCATTCTGAGCTGTGGGATTTAACCTAGTACAGCCAGTATTTAGCTGGTTACCTTGTGTTTTGGTTTTGTCATGCATTCAGTCACAGACTAAATCTTTGCCACGTGAAACAGTGCCAATCAAACAGTAAAAACCTGGAGGGGACAAATACACGTATACAACTGCTATAAGGCCTAATGTAATTATTTTGTCATATAGTTACTGATTTGCAAATCCCCGACAACTTCTTTGTATGTCCTAGATGTCCTTGCCTGCTTTTCTCACATCACCTTTTGTATTTCATTCCAGTTACACCAGATGTGCTTTCTCATGCCCTATCTTTTTCAGTTATTGATCTGAGCGTATCTTATAAGCAGTGGTCTAAATGGATTCACATATGAATCTTATCTAGTTGTCAGGATGCAAAAATAATAGTATTAAAACCAAGCAAATGCATTGTTTAATATAATTTTCACCTCTATAAATAAAAATACTTGTTTTCCCCTTGCCACCCACATGGGACTAGCCCAGTAAATGCAAGATGTCTGTAGTTAGTAGTTACCACTTTTTGACACCCTGTGTTCTTCTACAGTGGCAGCTGCTCTCTCCAGGAGACCATCCAAAGCCCTCTCCTCGGCCAGATTTTCTCTTTATCACCTCTTCTCACTGCATGCTTATGGTGTCTGTGCTGACTTTGTTCTGTACTCCAGGGACTCCTGTGTCGCTTCATGCCCCTTTCCCCTGTTCCACCAATACCACCTCCTTCTGTGCACCCTGATCTAGCTCAAGGACTTCCTTGGCAGCCTTCCTCCCATTTCTGCCATTGCTGTTTCTTTTTGTCTGGGAGATCTTGACAACCCTGGGGAAGTGAATAGCGTTGTTGTTCGGGTGAAGACAGTTATCATCACCCATTCATTTCATGTGGGCTGTGGCAAATCCACTGATGTTACACTGGGCACCCAGTGCGTAACTCCTGCCTCTTTTCTGTTTTTCTGGATCCAACGAGAGTCAATAGGGTTCTCGATGAATCCTGATCCACTCCTTGAAGCTTTCAAATTGATGAGGGAGAGCAAGTGTATCAACACCCACCCATTACACAGGAACAGGCGTGAAGGTACCATTAACTGAACATGGGGACCTACTCTGCTTGGGTTGAAATCGGTATATCAGTGAGTCAGGGGCTGTGGTAATGCTAAATTTTCTGTGTCATTTTGAACACAAGCACTGTATTGTGCAGTCATTGTGATAAAGTGCCTAACCAGCTGATTAACCTAAATGAAAAATGACCTATAAGAAATTGCCTTAGCTGCAGCTGGTGTTTCTAGGCAGTTAAAATGCTCCTAGAATTCCACAGTTATTAATCCAAGTTCATGGGAGCTTATTTAGTTATTAAAATTGTAAGGATTTGTAGTTCTTATGATCTTTGGAAGTAGTGTTGGAGGATTTAGCTTCTGCTGCCTGTGGTGGGAGAAGAGAAAAGCCAGTCATACAAGTAGATCTGGTAGGCAGATTTTGAATTGCACTGACAGAGTATCTTTGTCTTGTGCAGGACTGTACGTGAACATAAGTAGGGCATCTGTTTACATTCCTGAATTTTACTCAGGTAAAGTAGTCCTGATGAGCTACATGTTAAGCTTAGGTGTCCTGAGTTTAAAGCAAAAGCCACTTCTCTGTCTTGTTGGTATGCCTTCTATTCAGAGATGCTCAGGTCAACAAACCTGCTTGGCTGCTTGTGTTTTGGAGGTTTACAAGAATAATTAAAATAGAATTCCAACCCCTGCTTTTTATTACACATGTAGGACTGGAGTAAGTAAATACTAGCCTCTGCTGTGTAATCAGCTTTTAGTGGCTGATTATCTGCTTTGAAGACTGGTAATGTTGCATGCTTCTAAGTGCTGATCTCTGTACCAAGAATGGTATTCCCTTGCCTCGTGCTTCAGTTTCTTTTCTCTGTCAGTTATTACCTGTTGGAGCCACTGTGTTACCCTTTGGAGCTGAGCATTCACTGTTTAATGAGGAGGAGCAACCTCATCTTTGAGTACCATTTTAAGGATCCAAATCAAGCGATTTGGATATAAGCACATTTATGGAAAAAAATATATCTGGATTTGAATACTATGCCCTTTCCAGCTAACTCTAAGGAGTTTTACTTAGTCGCTTAAATATCTCAACAGATATTTAAACATCTCAATGCCCTCAGCTGGGCCCGATTCCCATGTTTGTCCTTGTGTTTATGCTGCTGTCAGGTTTGAAAAAAGTAAGCATCTTGCCTCTTAAATCCATTTTCTTTTGTTCTTTCCCCAGCAGATCTGTATACATCATGGGGTTTTGCTGGTCCTTGAAGAATGTTGCACTTCCCCTACCTCTGCAATCTGCCAGTTCTCCCCAAACGTGCCCTGACAAGTACAGCCTTTCCTCTAGCTCTTTACTCCAGTCTACTGACACTGGTTTTGCCATTCTCTTTTTCTTCCCTCCCCCGACAGATTCTAGGCTACATACTCAGTTCTCCTCTTTCTTGATCTCCTGCTGGCTTCACTGGTTGGCACAGTTCCTAGATTGCTTCCCTCCTCTTCGTTTTAGCACATCTTTCAACCTTCCTCACTCTGGGGTGATCCTGGAGAGTTCCGTTGCTGGGTCCTGTTTTTCTGTATTCTGCCTTTTTTCGAGCTGTTCTGCAGCCATTCAGTGTGCCTACCAGCACACTGATGTTCTGTGGGCCAGAAACACAAAGTTACATTCCTGTGTCTCTCTTCTGAGCTTTTATTTTACTTTTCATCTTTTCATGATGTTCACTCCTACTTGTGTCTCCTCATACTCACTGATAATCATCCTTTGACTGTTCTGTAAATCCACTATCTCTTTTCATTCAAATATTTGAGACTCATTTCTGGAAAGATAACAAACTAGTTAGTGTAGGCACAGCAGGCCTGATTTTATTATGAATGTGTCAGTTGACATCGCCTCCATGCTAGTTACCATATGTGGTAGTAGCCTTTTCTTCTGCAGATGAGGCCCCAAAATGAAATTTTCACTGCTTAACTTATGTTTTACGTCAGCTTTGTAGTAGAAGGTAATGCAAGACAAAAAAAAGAGCACGCCATGGAAACCTCTGTTCCGTTTCAAAAGCAAATGAAAAATTAATCAGATTTGACTGCCTGTATTTGGTACATAATTTGAGTTTCAGATATGCAGATACTTAGGCAACCTTTGCCTCTGCAGTGATTTGAGAACCCATAGATGGTTATTGCTGAGTGGGCAAGCAAATGGATTTTCTTGGGAAATGTAGCTTTGCAGACATTCATGCTTGAAGGAATGTGATTTTTAAAGTGCTAAACTATCAGCTTAAGCTCATAATATATTTAATATCTAATACAGTGAGATGCATAAAGGCACATAATTTCAATTAATAATAGTATTTCTGATTGTGAATGGAATTAAATGTAGACTTCAATATAAGGAAAGATTAGATACAAGAAAAATATAATTTAGGTCATGTGTGACATGTCAGGGGGCAGAAGCTACGTTTCAAGTTGAATATTACTTGGGTGTCTTTATTTGGGTGTCTTCTCAAAACCTCCTCTTATCCCACTTAACAAAACAGATACGGTTGTTGATATCAGCTGCTCCTGAAGTAAAACACTTCTGTTGACATGTGCTATCTCCCTTACTAAATCACCTGGGCAACTTTCCATGGTGTGCATTCAAAGAAAATAATTTTGAACCCCAAACAGTAAGTTTTTTAAGAGTTAAGAAATTTGAGCTCAAGTATTCTGATTTTCTTTGGATCCTTACAGTAATCGATGGTGTGAGCTAAATACAGTATGGACCTATCAAGGGATGATAATTTCTGTAAAAGGAATCAGCTTGCATTCATTGTAAGAACTTTTCTGTTTTGTTTCTTTTTAATCCCACAGATGTATTTAGTGATTTTTCCAGAGGGGACTCGTTACAATCCAGAAATACCAAAAGTCATTGCAGATAGTCAGTCATTTGCTGAGAAGGAAGGTAAGCAAAAAAAAGTTTTGAAATAATTCTTTTGTTACGGTATTAACTTATGTTATATGAAATTGTTGTATAACATGAAGATGATCTCACCTTAAGTGGACTGTTAAGGCTGCCTGATTGATACTTAATGGTTAGGACAGCATAAGCCAGTGTTTCTCTTACCACAGACTTAAGATGAGAGTAGTTTCTACACAGAAATTTCATGCACTTCACATTGTGCTAGAGAAGTAATTCTCAAGGAAGCTGTCCTTAGTTTCAGACTGTATCTATGTATTTATGGACACTTCTCACTCCTTCAGGGACATAAGAATTACATCAGATCAGGGCACTGTGATAACTAAGTTGACATAACTCTAATTACAGTTGTTACTTAATAAAAAGAATATTTTGTGTAGAGATTGTGCCTTAAAAGAAAATGTCTTTGATTTCATTTTTAATTACTGTTAGTACTGCCATGGCCTTTTTGGTCTTGTTGCTCTCTCACCTTCCAGTCTCACCCTTCCTTGGCTGAACTTAATCCTGTAGTTGATTTGGTTGTTGGTGTCGTCTCTGTAACCACAAATGGAATTACCTCATCTCTGGAAAGGCTTGGAAAAACTCTAAGGGTCCCAAGCTTTTTCATTTTTTTTCTCACATCATATGCACAGTGCACGTAAACTTTTAAGTCCAGCAGTTCAGTGAACACATTTCCTGGTTTTGTTTTTTCCTGTTGACCAGAAGTGAAATAATTCACTCTGAAAGTAAACAAAGAATAACAAATAGCTCTGGTAAATTCATTTCTGTGACACACTGAAATGAATTCACAAGTCTGTGAATCAGCCTGTTGATATCATCAAGCTATTAAGTATTGTTAGCTCTTGTCCAAAAGGATACATGCTTTTCTTCTCCTTCTTGGGAAGAATGGAATTTGTTTGCGTGTATGGGCAGGAGAGCTTAAGTCATAATGTATTTACTCATGGCTTCAGTTTCCTGTCGGAAATGAAAGTCAAATGTTTCATTTAGGTTGGTGGTTCTTTGAGAGTTCAGAGGGGGTGTTTGATAGTTGGGGTTTTTTCCTCTTCCCTTTTTCAGGGAAAAGAAAGGGCTCTCATCATCATTATTATTATTTTAATCTTTTAATTATATCTCTATGGTCTGCAAAACAATGAAACACCACTTCTGTGCTTTCAGAGCACCTGTTCATTTCTTGTAGTGCTTTTCCCTCCAGCATCGGTCTGCTTTTATTTTGTAAGTGTTACTCCTTTTAAAAACTCTCAAGACAAATATTTATTAAACAGGAAGCGTCTCCTATTCTAATGCGGAATCCTCTTGATCTGCTTTTCTCCACTGCTAAATTCCTTTGTTGGTGGTTGCTCCTCAACTTTTGTGTATGGAGAGGGTGGGAAGCAGCCTGCATCTGACCCTGCTCCCCTGCACATTCATGCGAAGATTGATACTCACATGCTGAGGAGCAGGGATGGCTGACACTGAAAGCTGGCTACCAAACTGTTCTGATGGCTGCGAGCCACAAGGCACATACCAATACACCAGGGAGCTGCAAGGACGATCAACTCTCATGGCTGCTGGCAGGTGATGATGATGCAGCAGTGCTGGTCCTGGCTTGCAGCTTCCACCCAGAAGCCCCAGCGGCACCACGGTCCTGGCTGCATGCTGGGGCCACAGCGTGGGAGCCGTGACCAGACTGGCCACACTCCTTGTAAGCAGCGAGGGCTGCTGTGTGACGCTGCTGAACTGAACTAAAAATGCACAATTGCATGCGTGTCTGAAAGATCCTTGGAGCTTCTTATTTTCTACAGTTGTAGGAGAGGTAGTAACGCCCAGTTGTTCTGCCAGGCAGAGGAATGAGGATTCTAGTTCTAGTTTAAATTCTGTATTTCATTCCTCATGGGAATGTAAAGAAATCTGATAATTTAGTCTTTTTATCTTAGTGTATTTGTTACAGAGCACAGTGCTTCAGTGTTGGCTTTACAGACATTCAGGGGAATTTTTATGTTTGTTTTTACTTTGAAAGGTAAGCTTTGTAATGATTTTCTTTTTATATACATTTCATATAATCACAGAATGGTTTGGGTTGGAAGGGACCTTAAAGACCATCTAGTTCCAACCCCCCTGCAATGGGCAGGGACACCTTCCACTAGACCAGGTTGCTCAAAGCCTCATCCAGCCTGGCCTTGAAGACAATTTTTGCACAATTTATATGTTGAGAAAATAGTGCAAGTGCAATATTGGAAAAAGTAGTTTAATTGAGAAGAATTAAACTTCAAATTGATGTTAGGACCAAAGGTATTGTAGCCTAAGACAAAAAAAGCTGTTCCTAGAGCACAAGAGTCAATCAGATATATCATGCTGTCTGAGATACATCTTTTGAGATAAATGTGGGTATATGTTTTCGTAGTTTTGCAGAGAGGAATTATGAAAAGGTTTTGTAGGGTTTGTAGTTACTTTTACTCTCCATGGGCTGAATTCTTTTTTGGAGAACGTTCACCAATTTAAGCATAATTCTTGAGCAGAAGTTTATTACCTGGTCTTATTGTGACCAGCTGATGAGCTGCATCTCGTATCTTGATGTTCTTTTAAGTAAACACCCATTTTGGATGCAGTTACTGCCTCTTCACAATTGGTCCAGTTCAACAAAAAGAAATTTAAAAAATAAGTCTTTGGTTGACTTTCACATTGCTGATTTCAACTATTACGTCTCTCCTCATTTATATGAATATATAAATAAATCATATCTGTCTGTGAGTAGGATGGAAGGATATGAAACAGCAAAAGAATTTGAAGGTGAGTGAGGTCACCCTTGAAAGAAAGGCAGCTTCTAAAAATACTGTGAATACTTCATGTTGCAGTTTGTACTGCCATAGGATTTGGGTTCTGCTCAAAACCTTGACTCCTAGCAAGAGCAAATGGATTTTCACTTTTTGAAACACAGGCAAATCAAACATGCAGGGTAGACCCAACAGATCTGGGTATTTGAGACTGAAGGCTATAAAGAAACTTCTAGACAGGGAGTAGGGCCATGTCTTTTCTTACTGTTTTTAGAATGAAAGAAAGGCTGTTGTACAGTAAAAATTAGAACCCACGAACTGGTCTTTCAAACTTGTCATTAACTGTCTTGCCAAGTTCAAGTTGAATGTACTGCCAGGTTTTGGTTTGTTAAAACAGAAGAATGCCAAAATCATCTAGAGGTAAAAGTGATAAAATTAGAGCATATTTCATGTCAGAGACTGACACATGCGTATTAGCCTTCAGCACTGATGGATTTGACACAGCAGTGCTCTATTCTCATTAATTTGAACTCTATTGTTCTGCCCACCGTAACTGCATTGGGTGACATACAGAAAGTTGCTGACTTCCAGGAGTACTGGTTTTATGGTGATAAACTGAGAATGTTATTACCTAAAGGTAGTTCTAGTGCCCTTAGAAAACTGAAGGTTACTCGTTCTGCACATTGGCAGAAGATTCCAGTCAGATCAGATTTTAACCCAGGATGGAACAGGCAGCATTTTAAAATCAGAGTACATCTGTTTGATTTCATTGGCAAAGGAAAAATGTGCTTCCCAAAGTTTAAAAACAAAAGCAAAAATGACCTCTCTAAAACTGAGTTGTTTTGTTATTTATCATAGGATTAATGCAAGAGTTATTCACAGGACAAGTGAAGTTCTGTGGAGCTGAGAAAATTAGTGGTCTTTTATCTTTGTTGGCCAACGTTGCACTGTTTGCTAGGGTTTCACAGCCACAGCAAACCACATGACCAGTGTTGTCAGAATATTAGATGAAGTCCTCTGCCAGGTTTTCACATTTCTGTCTGAGTCAAGTGGAACCCCCCACTTCCAAGCCCATGACGATACATGCCATGTAGCTGGATTTGAACCAAATGTTCCTTCTTGTCCTCTCCTGATGGGAAGTAGGTGGCTGCATGAGGTGATTCCAGCAATTGCTACCAGGATAGACTCTCTTTTTCTTGGGGTTTCAGAATGGTTGGTGACTAATGTGCTTCTATGGCAAGTCTTGTAAGATTCTCCTAATCAAATATTTCTCCCTCCCTCTCTCTCTCAGAGCTCTAAGAATGTCAAGGTATGTGTACATACGCCTTTGTCCACTGAGCTTTTGCCATCCAGTTTCCACTACTTAAGTATATATTCAGTAATCATAGTTTAGAGCTTGCTTTAGTTTGTAAGAGAATGATTGGCTAACGTGATTCCTGTCTTTAAAAACTGATGGAGTCATTCAGTTGACCTGTACATTGGTGATGCCTTTTAGGTTCTGATCTATTACTTTAGGCAACTTGAAAGTGCAGTGATTTTTCCACACTAGTCAGTGGGCTTGAGTTGCTGAGTCCAGGGAATTATAGTATGTAGGTGGTGCTCCTATTTCATCAGGATTTAACTCTAATCTAGTCATAGATTACCACAGACGTGTTAATTTTTATTTTATTAATTTATTTCAAGCTATAAATCTTCTAGGGCTGAGTCTTTCTAATGGTACTGGACTGTAGAACAAAATTTCTATAAAACCCACAAAATGCCTTTTTTTGGGGGGGTAACAGCTTCTGGTATAAAATTTGCTCCATTTATATGTTCCAAAAATATCTATGTATGCATAGATTTCTGGCTAATTTCTAGGAGTTAAACCTCTATAATGTTCCAAACAAACACCAATTTGTTGGGCTTAGTAGAATATGAATTTTATCCAAATGTTAAGAAATGATATTCTAAAGATTGGAAAACAAATAGGAATAATCCAAAGCCCTCCTACTGTTACTAACTCTGAAAAGCCAAAGAGAAAGGGATAAGAAGCTTTTAAATTTAAGTTGGGTTGCTGTTGCTGAATGAAGACAAAACAATCTTCCCTGGTGAAAAGCATTTATGGAATTTTATATTAATGTTTGATTTCTAACAGGTCATTTAATCAAGCAAACATTTCAGGTATTTGTTAATCTCTCTTATTTTTATGCAGAAAAGTTGCAAATGTAAATGTTTTTAATGCTGAGTTACCCTGACTAGTATCATGCTCTCTGCTAAGATGTTTGTGCGTGCAGGATATGCTTATCTCAAAATTGCTTTTGCAGGTCATATAAAAAAAGAGGTATTTCAGCAGAGCTGATCGAAACTGTTTCCCTTCTAGATCTTGGCACTGCTTTTAGGTTGTATTTTAAAGCAATCTGAAGTATTTAATATCCAGAAATGTTATTGGGAACTGTCTCTAAAAAAAACAGTGCTTTTTTTTTTTTTTTTTCCCCATGCGTTTTCACGTGGGCAACTTTGATGTAAATCTGTACAGTGAGATGTGGAAAGGAGAATACAGTTCTTTCAAAGAGTGGGGAGGAGACACCTTGAGTAGCATTTGAGAGACATACCATTAGGATGAAGAAAGGATTTCTGTTACTGCAATTCATCCTTAGGAAACTCAGTTGAGGAAAGCAAGAAGTACTTTGTATTCCTGGAGGTAACCATCATGAACAAAAGTGTACGGAAGTGTGGTGTCTCCATGTGTTGCTGTGGGATGGTCATAGTCGTCTTGAGGGGATTACTTGCTTTTCTTGTGCTTTAGTTCGTGGTATCAGAAAACACTTTACATGACCATGCAATTTTTTTAATACTGTCACCAGCTGAGTCTTGTTTATGTAAGTCAATACCAGCATACAAATGGGTGAGCTCTCCCACCCCGTGTCATTTGATAAGTCTAACCCTGGACTCTGGTTTCGGTAAGGCTTGCATCACTGGGAGCATTCCCAAAGGCTGGTGGGAACTCAGTACTGGGTGAGTGAGTTACAACACCCCAAGTAACTGCAAAGCTTTCGGCCTCACGTCACTCCTGCACACAGGCACATGAAAAAGCAAAACGGGGAAAGATCGAGTTGGTATTGAAATCAGTTAATTGTTTTTCACCCTGCTTTCGGTTTTTGTATTACTGTCAAGTAACACAGTTTTATGGGGGGGTGGGAAACCCATCAAACTGAATTTGACATCCACTTTCAGTGAGCACGTAACTTGTTGATGGAATGTGGTAGTACCAGTGTCACACACCTAGGGTATTCTTAATCTAGAGCTGTATTTTATTTAAATAAAATACTAATTTTTATGGTGTGTGCCCATGTCATGGGTACAGATACGACTAACAGAGTCCAAGTCTGAAAATGTAGTTGGCTTGCCTGCACTAAACAGCTCCGTGAATTTTTAGCCAAGATAAAGTCTTTTCCCTGGAGTTGTGCTCGGCTGTTATGTGTGTAACTTCACTCTGAGGGGATAGATAAACAGTGGTTTATTTAGGGGATTTTGTTTTGTGTTTAGATGAAAAATTCAATTCTACAGATGTTAACGATTTGGGCCTTTTACATCCCAAACTAAACCTTTGTTTTGTTCTATCTTCTCATAGACTTTCTGAAGTAATTCTGCATCTTAATATATTCTGGTAGACGGATGATATTTGATGTACCATTGCTCACCTTTATTTCTTCAGGCACTGGCATTATTTTCATATTACGTCTGTTTATCGCTTATAAGTTAGCTAACATAGAAGAGCAAAGCTATAGCATTTAATAATGTCGAGTATTACATTATTAAACATCTAGTTAATTTTCTTTGGCATTTAAAATAAAATCTCATGACCTCAAATACTTTGACAGAGAGATCTAACTTAGTATTGCACAACATTAAAAACAGCTTAAGCACAGTGTGTTTTGTGAATTGGATGCAGGCAGCTTGCCAAGATAACTATACTGTAACTACTTGGGTTTAAAGTCTGTTATGTTGATTTTAGCAAAGATCATCAAGTAATTGCAGGAATGTGTGGTTAATGTTTTTATAAAACAGAGTCTTTAAAAGGATGTGCTGAACTCCTGTTGTTGTGTGGTTGTCATGCACTGGAGTGATTCTCAGTAATGGATTATAGACTTTCTTTATTGATTTTTAATGAGATGCATACTCATATTTTACATAAACCTTCAAAAGTTCACCAGTAGCACATGGAATAAGAAGAGCTTATTCTACAGTTGTGCTTCACAGATTGTCCCTGACCATTGTCATCACCCAAACTGACCATGGATTCAAAAAACTCAGCACCAAATACTCTTAGATACCCAAATTAATTTGTCTGTACAGGATTCAGTTCTCATTTAAGCCTGTTTTTCCCTTTTTCTTCCCCACAGTAATAGTTTGGTTAAGGGGAAGATAAGTTGGGCAGAAAAGGAATGACAGTGTTTTTAGAATATGTTTGGGAATTCGACTCAGGAGTTGTGTTGAGTTGGAACGTCCATGCTAATATCATTACTGACACAGCACTAGAATATTCAGTGCTTCATTTACAGAGTAAACATTTGGAAACATAACATATTTAGCTGTTTGATGTAACAGTTCACAAGCTAAGAAAACACTACCAGCATGTTATGCTTCAAAATATTTACATGATCCATACAACATTTTGCATAGACAGTTATCACTATTGCCGGTAAAGGTTAGAACAATGACTTCAGAATGAGGGCTGGTAAATAACCTTTTATCTCTGTGTTCAAACACAGGGATTCTTAGCAGATGTTAAGAAATCAAGACAATGATTTCCACTGAAATGTTCAACTCTCTAAGAATGTTAGAGCAGTTTAGAAAGTAGCATTATATTACAGTATTCAGTAGATATTTTCATAATTTTAGACCAAAGTATGGTTTGGCCAACAGGTACAAAATCAGGACATAATATATTATCTTTTGAATTGGTTTTGTATTTGGAAACATATCTAAAGCAATACCATAAAACTGATTTAGAAGAATTTCTACTTCATCTATCAGGACCCAATAACTGGTGGAAGGTTCTTTAAAAACAGACTGAAGAGTAAGTCAATGAAAAATAAAGGTAGAAAAGAATAATTGCAGTTTTATTTTGGTACTTGTCTTTGAGAAAGGTACACATCTTACAGCGCATCTTGGCATAATAAGTTTTGGGTTATTTCCTAGAAGCACTTTGAAATAAATGTGGAAGAGCTGTGTTCAGATCATGAAAAGGTTTAGGGTTTTTTGTTTTAATTTTGAAAGTAATTTTATATTAAAATTCTGGAAATAGAATAAAAGTTAAACTCTTGCAAGCCCAGCATAGTTGGATGCTCTTAAGTATGCTGAGGGTGGAATTGGTCAGCTAAAGCAAAGATGGATATGAGATACTGTTGTGAAGACACACAGAGTGCTGTTGAACTGGTGGTGGTGTGTCCTTGACGTACCGGTCTCTGTGTCTCGGCCTGGATGGTTGAAGGGAGCAGCCGGTTGTGTTAGTACCTAAGTCAGTCTAATAGGTTGTTGGCAGAGAAACGGGTTTCCTCCTTGCTCTGAGCTCTCTGTGCTATTTTCCCCCTCCCTGCTCAGTTTTCTGATGGGATGATGAGTTGGATCAGCTGGTGGAAGGGGGGTGCCAGAGCAATGCAAGGTTAGCAGCAAGAACAGGCACACAGAAAAGAGCAGAAAGGAAAACTGCTTCTAGGATCAAGTGGAATTTCCCATTTTTTTTGTAGTAGCAATTCATTGCAGTTGGCTGAAGCTGTCTTAACTGCTTGCCCCAAGGTGAGGACCTCAGAGTAACCACATCCCAGAATCTGCCTTTTGGAAGAAGGAAGCAAAATGAGGAAAGCTAGAATCTAAAGTAGACAGTAACAAAACAGACTGAAATTTCTGATGCTTTGGAGAAATGCAGCATCCTGTTTAAGCGTGTGTAGCTTGACAACCGCTGTTTTGTTACCATGGGGCAGTATTAGGATTCGGTACGTTGACAAAAATCGGTTTGTCCTTTGGAAGTAAAATGCCGGATCAGCATTAGGCATGCAAAATTGTCTGTGCTTGTGCCTCACCTACCAATTCTGCTTTGGATACAGGATTTCAGGAGGCGATGTCCTGTGCATTTAGTATTTCTCAGTTAATTTGCTCATTTTTTCACCTCGGTTGGGCAAACAAACAATAAGGAGAAGCACTGTTTCATGGCTTATGAGCCACATTAAAACAATTTTTTATTTTAAAAAGATTCTCTGGAAACTCCTCCGTTTCTAGAGCAGGAGCTGTAAAAACGACTTTTGTTGAGCAGCCTTTCTGTCATTAACATCCTTTAGGATTTCTGTTTCATTTTCTGTACGTGCTCGGTAGAACAAATGCAGCGTGCGCACACTCTCTCTCAACAGAGAATTGAGACTAAAAATAAACTGTTTGTGATGTTGAGTGGGGGTGCTGAAGTTCCTTAGCACGATGTTCCTTTTGTGAATGTAGTCCAGTTTACTTTCAATCACTAATTTTTTTTTTTTTCCCCCCTCTAGGGCTTGCTATATTAAAGCACGTGCTAACGCCACGCGTGAAGGCAACTCACGTAGCCATTGACACGATGAAAGACTATCTGGATGCGGTGTACGATGTGACTGTAGCTTATGAAGGTACTGTGGACCACAAAGGGCAAAGAAAATTGGCACCATCTATGACAGGTGAGTTGATACATATTAGGTGTTCTATAGCCATAAGCTTGTTAATACACAGAACCGATTTCGGGTGCTTTCTGATGGTCTAAAGGTCATCTCCACAGCACTTTGTAGGGCAGCATTCATTAGTTGCCAGGCTTTACAGGAGGTGCTGTGCATTCCATGCAGAGAATATTTCTGCAGTCAGATTCTCCATATAAAGGCTCTTTGGAGCTAAACTGAACTCAGGACCATGGGCAACAGATGCCATTTACCTTTGTGTTTCTTCTAGCACTGGGATTTGGCATCACTGTAAATTCTCTCTCTCTCCCTCTGCTGTGCTACATACGTGTATATATGATGTAATCACTGAAATACCTGTATTTTAAAGGGAAAATGTGTACCAATAGTATTTTACTGACAATTTCTCAAATTGCTACACATACACAGTAACCTTACAGACACTTAACAGCATTTTATATAAGTGGGCTTCACTTGTTGCAGTATTTTAAACCACCTATAGCACCTTAAAGAGAACGGGGTAAATTAGTTTTATGTTCCTTGAGTAATCCAACCAAAAAAATAAGTTCTGGGGTTTCTGTTGTAGAAAACTCTGGGACAGAGAGCTTTAGAGTTGGCTGGTTTTTGGTTGTGCTTGGTGGTGGATTGAAATTATCTTTTTTAAGTAATTAATTTGCCTGCACCGTCACTGGAAGGCCAGATGTCATCTT